ATGATTAATAATAGTGATGATGATGATGATGATGATGATGATGATGATGATGATGATGATGATGATGATGATGATGATGATGATGATGATGATGATGATGATGATGATGATGATGATGATGATGATGATGATGATGATGATGATGATGATGATGATGATGATGATGATGATGATGATGATGATGATGATGATGATGATGATGATGATGATGATGATGATGATGATGATGATGATGATGATGATGATGATGATGATGATGATGATGATGATGATGATGATGATGATGATGATGATGATGATGATGATGAATATATCATGTCCTGACCCTATCTCGTTCGTGAATTGTAACTGGTTGTGCTCGACAGATTCTCTCTTAACAAAGTTACTTTGATATTGTGAAAATCTTTAGCTTGTCTCATTGCTTAATGCATATAGTTTTGCAGCACAATGCATATAAAACGTGGGTTGGTGTTTTCTTTAGAAAAATATATTTATCTTACAACAGAAAAATGTTTTTAAATATGTGAAAGCCTATTGTTTATCGGATAAGATAGATAGTTAGATGTGGGAGGAGATCGAAGAAAGTTCTAAGTCAAATTGTTAAGAAACATTTGGAAGTAAATGGTCTATCATAAGAGAAAAGAAATTATGCATTTATGTAAAATAATTTTAAATATTTCATATTTTAGATAATTTTTTTATATCAAAATTTTAAAAAAATTACTTAAATTTAAAACTATTTGAATAACTTTTCATAAAATTTATTTTCGAAATATATCTTTTCGGAAAAATTATGATTATGACTACGTTTTAATTTTAATATTGAATATTTATGTTATTTGATGTCAAAAATAATTTTTTTAATATATACAATAAGTTTAATTTTTTAATATTTTAAAAAACATTTTTATAAAAATTCATTTTTAAAAATAAAAAAATTATTTAAAAAACTAAAATAAATAGACTTTATATCTGTTAAATTGTAATCCAGTGTGTCGAAACTATGTGTCGAAAAGATTTGATTTGTTTTAGATTTAAATAGATTTGATTTAAAAATTAGATTTGATTTAGTAACAAAAATATATTTTGGGCTTAGGGTGTAAGCTCAGTTATAAATAGAGGGAGTAATCCCTATTTTTGTAAGTAAGTCAAGCAAGTTGTATTCACGGAATTTGCAGTTGCAAGTGAATAACAAAGTTTTCACAGTTTGTGAGCAGAGAGAAACTCTGTAGAAATTATTTGTCTTGTCTTCTTTCTTTGTTTGTCTCATAATTGAATTGTCATTGTGGTAGAAATTCATCATAGACTTTGGTGGATTTCCAACATCTGGTATCAAGAGCTCGATTAATCGATTCGAGGGAAGTGTCAATCAAGAACGATTGAAGAATTCACGATAACAAGTTATGGGAATGCAAACTATCTAGCAACGCTACCAATTCTGAAAGTTGACAACTATGAGAATTGGTGCAAACAGATGAAAGTCTTATTCAGGTGTCAAGGTCTTTGGGACCTTGTAAAAGATGGAGTCGAAGCGCTTGGAGAAAACGCTTCAGAAGAAGAAAAGAAGAAATACACAAAATCTGAGAAGCTGAGTTATAAAGCATTATTTATAATTCATCAATGTGTCAGCCCAGACAATTTCGAAAAGGTTAGTGATTCAGAATCTGTAAAAGAAGCTTGGGAAATTCTTGAGAAGTCTTTTGGAGGCGCTGAGAAGGTGAAAGAAGTGAGGTTACAAACTCATAAAAGGATGTACGAACTACTTCAGATGGAAGACAATGAAAGCATATCTGATTTCTTCACTAGAGTTACAAAACTAGTAAATCAAATCAAGATATGTGGAGAAACGTTAACAACAAGAGCTGTTGTTTCAAAGATTTTAAGATTTTTGGCTCCTAAGTTCGACCACATAGCGGTAGCGATAGAAGATGGGAAAGACTTGTCGAAATTGATAAAGGAAGAGCTTCAAGGGACGCTTGAATCTCATGAACAAATAATGAATGAAAGGGCTGCAGGAAAATCGAAGAGTGATGTGGCTTTGCAGGCACATTCAGCAAAAGAGACCAAAGGCAAAGGAAAGTGTTTCGACAGAGGTAGAGGTGGCTACAACAAATTGAATGGTAGAGGAAACCAAATCGAAGGAAACGTGTCGAATCAAAGAAGACCATACCAAGGCAACCAAAGAGGTGGTGTTGCAAATATAGGAAGAGGTGGTGGTCGAAAACCTGATAAGAGTCACATTCAATGTTACAATTGTCAGAAGTATGGTCACTATTCGAGTGATTATCCAGAAAAACAAAAGAATCAAGAAAGTGATGCAAAGCTTGCAAAACATGAAGAAGAAGAAGAGATGATGCTGATGGTCACAACAAGAGATGAAGATAGATTCAAGAACCAATGGTACTTGGATTCGGGATGTTCATCACATATGTATGGAAGGAAAGACTGGTTTGTCAATATAAAGCCCTCAATAAAAAATATGGTAAAGTTTGCAAATGACAATACCCTAGCAGCTGAAGGTATTGGTGATGTTATGATTATGAGGAAAGATGGCAAAAGGTCAATAATCTCCAATGTGTTGTACATACCAGGCATGAAGAGAAATTTGCTCAGTATAGGGCAGTTGGTCGAAAAGAATTATAAAATGTCAATCGAAGATAAGATGATGAGAGTCGTTGATGAAAATGGGAGACTAATCTTGAAGGCTCCTATGTCTCAGAATCGAACCTTCAAGATTGAACTAAATGTGATGGAGCACAAGTGCCTTTCGACTGCAGCTAGTAGAGATGAATGGATATGACATTATAGACAAGGCCATCTCAACTTCAGAGACATCATAGATTTGAAGAGAAGAAATATGGTTTCAGGATTACCAGAAATCGACATTCCAAACGAGGTATGTGAGGAATGTGTGCAGGCGAAGCAACACAAGAATAGCTTCAGCAAGGATGCAGGAAGCAAATCGAAGGTTATTCTTGAAGTCATATACTCTGATGTATGTGGACCAATCCAGGTGAATTCGATGGGAGGTAACAAATAATTTGTTACATTCATAGATGATTTCATTCGAAAGTTGTGGACTTATCTGATCAAGAAGAAAAGTGAAATGATCGAAGTATTTTCCAAGTTTAAGTCTATGGTCGAAAGACAGAGTGGTCGAAAGCTCAAAGTTTTTAGAACTGATGGTGGTGGAGAATATGTGTCGAAATACTTTGAAAGGCTATGTGAAAAGTAAGAGATTGTGAATGAGGTGGTGCCAACCTATACTCCACAACAAAATGAAATTGCATAAAGGAAGAATCAAACCATCATGAATATGGTGAGAATTATGTTGAAAGGCAAGAAGTTACCTAAAGAGTTTTGGGGTGAAGCTGTTTCGACTGCAACATATATTTTGAACAGATGTCCTACAAAGAAGCTAGAAGAAATTACTCCAGCAGAATGTTGGTCTGGTGTGAAGCCTAGCTTGATTCATCTTAAGGTATTTGGATCTATTGCACATAGACGTGTGCCAGATCAGTTGAGAAGAAAACTTGATCACAAGTCAAGTCAAATGATTCTAGTTGGATATCATTCGACAGGAGGCTACAAGTTGTTCGGTCCAGAGAACAAGAAGATTGTGATCAGCAGGGACATGATCATAAATGAGTTTAAAGAATGAGATTGGACTGAAAATGTCAAGAAAGATTCAGTGAGAATCCTATTCGAAGAGCCAGAAACTCAAGTAGAAAGAGAAGTTCGACGAGAGGAACCAGCAGATATACCAAGTACAAGCAGACCTCAAAGAACAAGACGGATGCCTGCAAGATTGCAAGATTGTGTGATTACATCAGATGATGTGATAAATGATGAAGGTGAGCTGGTACATTATCCTTTCTATGCAGATGTCGAACCCGTTAATACAGCTGAAGCATTGAAGGATTCAAAGTGGGTGAAAGCAATGAATGAAGAAGTGAAGTCTATCAAAGACAATAACACTTGGTCACTTGACGAATTGCCTCAAGGCAAGAAGGTAATTAATGTCAAGTGGGTATACAAAGTGAAAACGAATTCAAAGGTGAAGTAACTCGACACAAAGCAAGACTTGTGGCGAAAGGATTTCTACAGAAAGAAGGAATAACTTCGATGAAGTTTTTTCACCTGTTGCTAGGATCGAAACAATCAGGTTGGTTGTTGGTCTAGCAAAAATAAACAGTTGGCACATATTTCAGATGGACGTGAAGTGTGCATTCCTAAATGGACCCTTAGATGAAGAAGTCTATGTTAAACAACCAGTTGGGTTTGTGAAACATGACGAAGAAAGAAAGGTGTATAGGCTGCATAAAGCCTTGTATGAATTGAAACAAGCTCCAAGAGCTTAGAATAAGAAAATTGATAGTTTCCTAAGGGAGAAGGAATTTGTAAAGTGCACAACTGAACATGGAATATATGTAAGAAGAAGAAATAGTGAATTGCTTATACTATGTCTCTATGTAGATGATTTGTTGATAACAGGTAGCTGTAAAAGTGAGATCGAAGACTTCAAAGGTGATCTCAGCAAGGAATTCGAAATGTCTGATTTGGGTGAGATTTCATATTTCCTTGGTATCGAATTCTACAAGAGCAATAGAGGTTTGATGATGCATCAAAGAAGACATGCAGGGGAAATTATCAAGAGATTTGAGATGGAAAAATGCAACCCAACTTCGACACCTGCAGAATTAAGACTGCAACTGTCGAAAGATGTAGATGAAGATGATGTTGATCCAACCCAATACAGAAGACTTATTGGATCATTTAGATACTTTTGTCATACAAGGTCTGACTTAGCATACAGTGTAGGCATGGTAAGTAGATTCATGCAGAAGCCATAGGTATCACATCTAGCAGCAGTGAAGAGGATACTAAGGTATCTCAAAGGAACTTTTGATTATGGCATTTTATTTCCTGTAGCTGATAAAGGAAAAGAATGCAAGTTAGTGGGATACACTGATTCGAGTTGGTGTAGTGATGCTGAAGATCGAAAGTCTACAGTAGGATATGTGTTTATGCTAGGTGGTGCACCAGTTGCTTGGAATTCAAGAAAGGAACTAGTAGTGGCATTATCATCATGCGAATCAGAATACATAGCTGCTTCTCTTTGTGCATGTCAAGCAACTTAGATGGTGAACTTGGTCGAAGAGATGACAGGGAAAGATCATGGAGCAATTACCATGAAGATCGACAACATGTCAGCTATCAATCTGGTGAAGAACCCAATAGCACATGGTCGAAGTAAGCACATCAAAATGAGGTTCCATTATCTTCGAGAGCAGGTAGCAGATAGGAAGATGAATTTGGAACACTGCAGAACTGAGAATCAGATTGCAGACATCATGACGAAGAGAGTGCAAGTCGAATATTCAGAAGACTAAGAGCCATGATGAACATAGATAGTTTAGACACAATGAATTAGGTGGTGTGTTAAATTGTAATCCAGTGTGTTGAAACTATGTGTCGAAAAGATTTGATTTAGATTTAAATAGATTTGATTTAAGTCTAGAATAAATTAGATTTGATTTAGTAACAAAAAGATATTTTGGGCTTAGGGTGTAAGCTCAATTATAAATAGAGGGAGTAACCTCTATTTTTGTAAGCAAGTCAAGCAAGTTGTATTCACATAATTTGCAGTTGCAAGTGAATAACAAAGTTTTCACAGTTTGTGAGCAGAGAGAAACTCTGCAGAAATTATTTGTTTTGTCTTCTTTCTTTGTTTGTCTCATAATTAAATTGTCATTGTGGTAGAAATTCATCATAGATTTTAGTGGATTTCCAACAATATCATCATTTGATCTTTGTTGTTTAATTTCATGCTTCAGACAATTCTCATGATTCCTTCGTCGTCAAACACACAAGTGAGAAAAAATTGTTATATGAATTTTTTCATTTATAAAGTGTTTAATTTTAATTTTTTTAAATAATGTAGGATTTTCAATTCAAACTTATACAACATATAAAAGAATTAACATCTTATTCTCTTGATTATATATATCATCCCTCAAAAAATATGAAAAAATAAAATTATTTAAATTCAAAAAATATCACATCGAAAATATGAAATTCCCAAGGCGATATCAAAAATTTAGATTCGATACCGAAAATTTAGTGAACAAATAAGAAATTTATGTTAAATTTTTGAAATTTTGAGTATATTATACTGCAATTTTCAACTGCAATTTTCAAAATATCTAATATATTTGAATCATAAATTTTAGTTTTACGGTGTACTCTATATATATAATTATACAGTGTAGGTGTCTCAAATGTATTTATCATTTCTCTAAACTGAATGATAGTAAGGATATAGTGATAGACCAACACTTTACGAAGAAAAGTTGCAATACAGTATTATAGTCATGCAATAAACGCGACAGAAAACTACCCTCACGATATCCTAATTAGTTATCACCTCTAGACCCAAATAACATACTAACAATACGTGTAGCTATGTTAATATGTATAAATAATTTGACAAGTCAAATATCAGTTCAGGTTCAAGTTAGAGTCATTGTTATAATTAATTTTGAAGTGTTTCAGGATTATGTAAAGAATTTTGGAAGGATGATAAATAAAACTGAGAATGGCGGAAGCACAAAGAGACCCGTTGGAAAAAATTTATTGCTTTAAACCATGCAAGTATACGATATGCCCACTTTCAAACTCATAAGAAATTTACTTACCTACCTGCTGTTAAAGCATAGTTTTATTTGTCTCTAAGGTGACAATTTATTTTATTTTGTGTATATAAATAAGTTTGTAGTTAAGATTTTGTAAAAATTTGGTAGAACATACACAAAAATAAATTGATAAATTAATGGTGAAAAATAGTTAATTAACGTTAGAGAGAATTTGAAGGTTATTTAAAAGAGAGTAATTAATGAGAAATATTAAATTGACATTTACGAAAATTACATATTACATGAGGTATTTATAGGTTACACCTACAACAAAGTGGAATAAATACTGACCCAACAACAAACGGTTTAAAATCTCAAAAAAATGGCGATAGTAACCAGTTTTCTAAAACAGGGGAACTGGGAAACAAAAACTAAACACATGACAGAAATAGGTTTCCTCAAACTGGGAAAATACCGATTTCTTCTTCGAAATTTCAGATTTTCAGCTTTTCAGAAGTGTTTTTTAAATAAGCTGTTTTATAGGAAAAGATCACATAAGCTTCCAGAATGCATTTGAATTATTTTAAATTTCCAATACACCACCTTAATTCAAATGCTCAACATTCTTCATTCCTAAATGCCGTTTGAAGTGAAGAAGCGAAGGTTGAGTTCGTCGATGGCGGCGTGGAAGAGGTGAAGCTGAGAACGAAATCATAGACAGAGGCGAACCATTGTGAGCAGAGATTGAAGGCGACACGATTGAATGAGTGAGATGGAAACGTTGAGCTGCGGAAACGAAAAACAACGGACATCGGCGAAGCGAATCGAGACAGAGACGCGGTGTCGAACAAAGGTCTACGGCGGTGCTACGATTTTATTGGTCGGAGATGAAGACATCTGTGAACGAGGCTGTGATGTGAGGAAGAAGACTCATTTGTGTGCGAGAGGAAGTTGAATCGTCAATTCTATGAACCCTATTTCTTTGTGATAAAACGCATGTTTAATTCCTCTTATTTATTTTATCTTAATTTTTTTAGGTTTGTTATAATTAGGATAGTCCAATGCTTGATGATTAAAATTCAAAAGAATCTGATGTTGTTGAAATGGATCCGTTTGGGCCTTACCTTTCCTTAGTCCATGATTCAGTTTTTGTACATGCTAGAATGCTAAGGATAAATATTTTCTTGGGCTCAGGTCGTATGGGTTTTGTATCCACTGCTAACCATACACTAGTTACATATGACACCCCTTGAATTTAGTTTTTTGATTTCTTTTGCATTTTCCTTATTTCCTTTTATAGATTTTTGATGCAAAAATGAGTAGAATATTTTAGATTCTTTAGGATTTTTCTTTTTAGAATTTTAATTAGAGTTTTCTATTATTTTCTCGTGTTTGAAAATTATATTTGTTGCCATTTTTAGCCATGATTTTGTGATAGTGTTGATGCAACTTTTGAGATATGAAATGCTTGAGGATTAGTTTGTTTGATCACTTGTGTGAAGCTTCTGAAGAGTTTTCTTATTGCTTGCGTGACTTTGAAGAGGAAACGAACCTTCTTCGTTAGGTACCACTTGGAGCTCTTATATCTCTTGCAGGCATCATGCTAGGTTTTTATTTTTGCTAGGATCATGTAGAAATAAATGCATATGAGTCCCTCTTCTCAAGGGAAATGTTTGCTGGCATAGCTTAGACATTAGTGTGGTTTTTTGTGATGTTATGCAAATCTCGAATTTCTGAAAATGCGTTCGTATGGCGTGTTTGAGCAAGATTCTGTAAGTTTGGAATCCAGATTCGAGAGTTAGTGGGCGAAAAACAAAAAAAAAAGGCCTATCTAGGGGTTTATATCCACACCCTCCCCTTTGTTCAATTCTGATGCCAAAAAAGGCTTAGTGGACGCAAAACAAAAAGGGTCTATATAGAGATTCATATCCTCTCCCTCTGAAGTCCAATTTGAACGTTTTTGACTGAAAAACTTGTATAAAAAAAAACTGGTTATGAACTTATTTTCTGACTGGGCTTAGATACTGCTGGTTCACGCCTCTTGCTTGCACCCCATGTCTTCTTTCATTGTATTTTGCTTTTGATAATTGTTTCTAGTGGATTTTCCTTTCGATCTTATTTTTTCTCCATCATGATAAAAAAATGGAAAAATAATAGAATATGTTTCTTTTAATTTGAATAATTGTTTGTGTGATATTACCATGATCCCTTAGGTTTTAATTCAATTTTAATCATTTCATTAAGTTGAATTAAATAGACATTAGGCTTTAAAATCAAGCATGATAATAATTAGGTAGAATTCTCTTGATCCAAACCTTAGGAACATGATACATGACAACATGAGGATTAGTTTCCCTTAGTCATTTTCATTCCCTTTTTGCATCCATCAAGACCAAAACTTTCTTTTTCTTAATCAAATGTTGAAAACACTTAACAATAATGATGCGAACCATATGGCACGAGCCTTAAGAATTGGAGGGAAGTATGAGGGTGCATTCCCTAGTAATTTCTTCTAATCATAGTCTCTAATGTGATTCAAATTACAAACTCTTTTCAAAATAAATAAAAACACAAACCAATCAAATATGGCATCTTGCTTTGAGGGTGTAACTCAAAATCATTTCAAAAGGGTTCGTCACCCACAAAAAACACACAACAAATCAAAACTTTTGAGCCGAGCTACGACGCTCTAATTACTTAAAAGGGATACACGGGCATTAGGTTGCATGGCCTAAGCGAACACAACTATTTAAAACATTTGTTTTCCATGTATTTTTTTCTTTTTCATGCATGCATTCCCTTAGAAAGTAAGCATTAGATATAACACACCCTTTGATTAGAACAATAAGAGTGGATCCCATGGAGTATCACAAACATGAGGGGTGTTAATACCTTTCCTTTGCGTAATTGACTTTCATACCCTTTCTCTTGGTCGCAAGACCATCTTATCCATTCTTTTGGTATTTTCTCGATATTTTCCCTTCCTTCGGGATAAATAAAGTTCGGTGGCGACTCTATATTTTTTCGCAGCGCGATAGCTGATGACTCTGCTGGAGACATACCTAAGCATTCCAGTCCTAGCTTTTGTTTGTATTCTTTTCATTTGGGTTTTATCTTTATGTGTTACTTGCTATGTTTATCTTTATGCTTTATTTGCTGATTATTTATTGCACGCATTGCATTTTATTGCTTTCCATATGCTGGACTGTGCTGGTTGCTGGATTTTCTATTTTTCAGGTTGGTGGGATGTTACTATGAGATAAAAGGCCCAATACCCAGGCCAGAGTGACACATTTAGGAACACATAATACTACAGTGGATAGTCATGACGCCTACTAAGTACAGACCCTACTAGTATGATCATGAGAGCCACATACAGACGAGGTACACCTGGGGGTCACTATCGTCAGGCATGTCTGTTACTATGGTGATATACCTTCCATTTGACTTACGACTATGTGTATCTTTTGACCATACCTTGACCTAGACTTCACCCGTTAGTGGGGAGGGAATGATCTTACATGTACTGTTGGTGACTTATGGGTACTTGGTTCCCTTGTGTTCTGAAATGGTTCTGGATCTTTAATCTTATGACATTCAGCTTATTCAGAAGATTGTACAATATTTAATCAGAGGATTGTACAGTATTTACCCGAATTTTGTGGAGCCTTGATCCTATGTTAGTGTATACCATGACATCATATCATATTGTATATGCATCCCATTTCTAGGTAATTCCAAAGACAAGTCTTTTGTTGATATTTCCAAAAAAATGAATACTATTACCAAAAGAATACTTATGGATAGACAAGTCTTTGAGTTTCCCTGGAAATGAAAGATGAAACATGTATTCATAATATCATGCATTTCATTGTTCATAACATAAGCTTATTGGGGCCCTTCTTTTCATTCAGAGTTCAGAATCAACGACAACGACTTCCCAACATCCGTACCGTACCAGAAATAATCAACAAAGATTCATGGATCTCTTTGAAAAGAATCAGAATACTCTCCGTCAGGGCATAGAAATTATGGGTGATAGAATGAATAAGCTCCTCGAGACTCTCCATATTGTTAATCAAGGACAAGAGGAACTCAGACAGAATGTTACTAAACTTTCTATTGCTACTGCTCCCTCCTCTTTTGCTAATAGAGGATCTGAAAACATGGATGGACTTTGACGTGAACACGAATTATTGAGGGCAGAAGTCAATCAAATGAAAACTCAAATGGGGCTGATTACGGATGTCCTACAAACACTATTAAAGAAGGATGGAAATCACGCGCCAATTGTAGCAACAAAAATGGTCAATCTTTCCTATCAACCACGTCTCACTTCAGGTCAAGAGCTCCCTCGTGTCTATCTTTTGCAACCTTGGATTCCAGAAACTCCCCGTCCGTAACCATTTCCTATGCCTCTACTAGGTCAGAGAGTCAAGTTCCAAGACATAATCAGTTCCCGAATCAGCGTTAAAGATATAATTACTCTCAGCAAAAGCAAAGTAAGTCGAAAAGAAAATTGGATGCAATTCCTATGCCTTACAATCAACTACTTCCTCACCTGCTTCATTATCATTTGGTTAAGATAAGAGAGTTTATGCCTCCTTCAACATCCCTCCCTTCAGGATACAATGCAAATGCAAGATGTGAGTTTCACTCGGGGTCACCTGGCCACTCAATTGAGAACTGCCGAGCTTTGTAGAACAATGTGCAAAACCTAATTGAGTTAAATGCAATCACATTCACTCCAAGCGGTCTATGCATAAACTGAAATCCTCTTGCTCATACAGGTGCCAAGACTACAAAGAGCATCCCCTCAAATAAGTTAATCTTGAAGAAGTCTCCCCAGTACTGGCAATCATTAGATCATTTTTGCATTGTCATTTGTAATTTTCTTTGTTTGTTGAATGCTACTTACATGTAAAACTCGTTTGTTTTTGAATGATAATAATAATACACTGCATATGTTTGTTTCGAATCAATTCATTCGCGTTCACTCATTTATTTTTCTATTTATGGATATCAAAATCTTATTTAAAGCAAAAAGTCAAAAGGAGAATGATGAAAACAAAATACGCAAAATCACTGATTGTATGCTTTTGAATAAAACCCTATTGACAATTTAAGGCATTATTTCAAATCCTCAAACACTAAAGATATAAGGGAGTGAAACCCTTGTCAACCCCTTTGAGCCTTGAAGTAGGAGTTTATTTCTATACGAAAAACCCTCAATCTTACCCAGGGTCCGGTAGTCTTTAGTTAATTTGACAGTGCGTTCAAATTTCAAAATAAAAAGGAGTGTCCCATATGAGGATCAACCATATCTTATCCTTCACACATCAAGAGTTCAGTAAATGCAAAATCACAATGGTTATCCCTCATCAATCGAGGAATGAGGCAGACACAACCCTTTCAGCAAGTCAAAACCAACCAAGGTCATACGATTTATTCACAATAAAAAGAAATTGAAATGAAAAAGAAAGAAAGCTCGCTAAGTCAAAAAATTGAAAACAAGTGACTTAAGCAAAAATTAGGGCATCCTGTTGAACTTCAAAACTAAATTCAAAATCCAGTCCATGCAAAAGTTAGGGAAAATAAAAACAAAAAGAACGAAAAACGAAAAGGATTACAAAACAAAAATTCCCAGCAAGAACAAATTCTTGTGACCACAAATACAAAAATGAAAAAGGGTGATTGTCACTACAAAAATCTCCTTGGTTTCTCAACCATGACTTACACTTCTAAACCCTTTTGAAAGGTGAACACTCGTGTCAAAATAACTGAATGTAGGACCAGAGAACATAACAGAGAA